TCATGATCGTACAGTTTATGCTTTATTTGATTGTACAGGTGTTTTATTACGTGAATCAAGCAAGGTCTAATTCAACAGTTAAATTATTATTTAACCAAGAGTTTAATTTTTTATACAAAAAGATTAAAATTCTACGATGTAAATGTACATGTGAACTTCGACTTAGTATAGGTCAAATATTACAAGTTGAGTTGACCTTACTTACATAGTAATATTCCTCTATCACCTGCATATGGTGTTTATGTCTCCCAACTTATTCGATACTCAGTACCATACTCTGAGTACGATCAATTCTTAAACCAAGGCTACTGACAGATAAGTTGATGTTACCGAGATTTAAACAACCTCGTTTATAAAGGCCGCATCTCGTTAAACCAATGACTTTGTTAGCAAATATAACCTATCATTGGGTCGTATTTTCACTGACATATATCATACTAATTGTTAGGCCTTTGTTTTTAAACTAAATTTGACTACGGAACATTCCGTATACCTGGTCAGTACATTGGCTCACGGCGGGTGTGACTGGTCGACAGAGGATGCTTACTCCTCTTACGCACCTGATCTCATATCTGGAATTCCCGGGGGTCCGTGTATTATGCCCACTTCACAGATTTGTATCGTTTGTAGTTTTTTTTAGATCGATCACTGTTCGCTATCTTCACCTTTTAATTAGAAATCGCTACTGACCACTTATTGCTGTTTGCAAGATATATGTATTACCAAAAATCTTCTCTCTCTCATGAAAAAAAAATCAAGCAGGGATTGGGGATGCCTCACTCTTTGAATTGAACATATGCACGCCACTTGAATATGAATCATTAAACGATGAAATGACAATGAAAATGATGTTCATAATAAATATGTTGTTCTTTGTGGTTAACATAAGAAATCTCTGCTCATCTATACACGATAAAGGCGCGATATGATCTTCACGAATTTAAACTCTCGTTTATGCATCTGTTTCAAGCGTTTTAATTATGCGCACAATTAATTGCATAAAAACTTTTTTTGTCATTTGAACTTCTATTTGAATTTAGCAATCATGAGTGAAAGAGTTTTAAGATCTAGCTAAACACAAACGGAAAAGAAATTATGTATTATTATTAAAAAAAAAATAATGGGGGAATATTCATTTTGAAAAAAAAATCCATTCCTCTATTTTTTTTTTTTTTTTTTTTTTTTTTTTTTTTTTTTGACGACTGGGTCGTGTACCAAGACCTAGCCAAGTCATAAAAGCGAATGTATGTAAATTGTGACAGAATTTCCCTCATTTTTAACCACTTGTTTGATTTCTCGTTATTTAGAGCAGAGTAACTGACATTAACGTCAATAGATAAACCACCGATTACATTGTTCCTAAAATGACATAATATCACCTGCGTAGGGGAAAAATTGAAATGCAGCAGGAATTTAATCAGGCAAAGGAACAAGGTTGAATTAATCTAAGAGTCCAAAATCTGACGCTTTTGTGTTTGAAATGAAAATTCTGAATTAATGGAAATAAACTTATTCTTCAAGTTTTGACCGCAAAACGCAAGGGACTGTCTCACAGCAGTGAAAAGGGCTACAGGCATGCAACGATTTCTTTTCCTTTGTTTTATATTCTATTAATAAAATAATGAATGTTTATAAACTTGATAATTTAGAATTTCTTTTTATTTTCCTCTCGCAATCGACTCAAAGCGTTTAAGGAGTTTGGTATAAAATTATCCTTGTATTTTGATTGAATCTAGGCAATAGTCATATATTTTTTTGAAAAATATAAAATACCACTTTTATAAATTCTGAATGATCGTAAAGACAAATTTTTATTTACATTAGTGAAAAGTTTTGACTAATAAGCCCTTCGATTCATCCTTTTATTTCAGGTGGGTGGTAATGGATATGTAATATTTACTTTTTCCTTCCTGAATATTGTGTATCATTGTATTGGCATGAAGATGTTTATAATGATAAATGTCTTTTTTTTTTATTTTTGTCTCATAAACATATAGTCAAATCGATGTGTGGGACAAAGTACATATAACATTTAATAATCAAGCTTGTGGTAATTGCTGGCTACATTGGTTGATTGGGTTGGGCGATCATCAAAGGGTTTAAGCCATATGTAAAAGGTTGTGTCTTGCTCTTAGTCAAGGATGCTTAGCTTTTAATTCTTTCCAATTTACTTCCGGCCAATTGGTACAACATTGCGACAGTCGCAAACTGTACATTGTACATCAACAACATCTTATGGTCTATTTTATTGATTATTTTTCGGTAATGTTCTGCAATTTTATTGCATTTCTAAACGGTTCCTTTTGTTTTTATGACAAGTATGGGTGAAATAATTCTTTAATCCTATGTACTTTTGACCGAATTGCATCCTACGAATATAATTATAGGCAATGTTTTGAATTTTTAAATTATTTTCGACCTATTGGACTTTTTCGGGTCACCAATGTATTTTTCCCTATTGTCTTTCCTTTGACACGATCGATATATTTAAATCAATCTTTTGCACCTGACATCGTTAAAGATGTTACACTATCCACAATTCACTGAAAATCTAAAAAAAAAAAAAAAAAAACGAAAGAAACAAAAAAAAAAAAAAACTATTGTGAACGTGTTACTCATATTGCGACTCGATGTAGTGATACATTGGTCGTCATGACAGGAGTGATGCGGTCGGTCTACAGGTGTGCGAAAACAATGAGATGTGATAAACTATTTTGACTGTCATTTCATGCCATGTTAAAATGAACTATTAACAAAAGAAATGTCCTTTGATAAATGTTATCTGACAAGTCTTTTTTAATTTTCAACTGACCGCAAGAGATGACCAGAAAATAGCCAGTATCACCACTTTGTGAAAGAAAAATGTGCCAACTCCCCCATCGTGCGAATTTTTTCTCTATCGCCTAAAACTGTCTATTTGGTGGAATAATACATTCAATAGTATGTAAATGATAAATTTTCACAGACACCCTATAATTTATAAAATACCTTTCATGATTTATGTCACATGGCCGCTCTCACAATGAGAACACGCAGTTTGCTGAATATGACGAAAAAGGCGAGTAACCACAAGAATCCTTATGTAATGTAAGTCGTGTCCTATATCGTAAATAAAGAGTCTTATTTTTATAACAGCTTATTATGAAATAATATTCCTGCATCATATTTTTAGCAGCCGGTAGGTCAATCTTTTTTTTATTTTATATATGGACATCCAATGCAGACAGTTCAACGTTCTCTTCGAATCTTACTACAGCCGGGGCCTTTACATGTATAAAGCTTTAATATATATCTTCTAATGTAAATTTTTTATGTTTAATTGGATTAATATTATCACTCATTATTCTTTATAAATGATGATAAGCTTCACATCTCTGAAGGTCACTTAAATGATGCAGAATTCTTATTTTACACAAGCATTAAATAGAGAGCATGAAGTCATTGTATTTCAGCAATTTAAAAATCGAGTAATTTTTTGAGTGGTACTTTTCACGAAAATACACGATGACTATTAAGGAATCACGGCATATTCTATTTTTTCATTATATATCGAAAGCAATCGGCTTTTATATTTTTTTATTTTTTTAAATAAAAAATATACCCCCCCTTTTTTTTAAATCCGCGAACAATAAACTGGAATCGTTAAACAGTGTGTCAGAGAGTATGAAGAGTGGGAGAGAGAAACGTTATCAGGGTTGAATCTCTACCACCAGATACATATACACCCAGCCAACACTTTCTCCCCACCACAGCTCAAGTGACACCGTGTGTGGCTCTCAGATGGAATCTCACAGTGAGAACGGATGACATTTTAAGAAAGAATCCACGGGTTTTTAAAACTAGACACCTTACCTGCCCCTATATTTGCCCAAAGGCTGTTCCGCTGTTAAAAAAAAAGAAAAAGCGAATATATACTGGTAGTTTTATGTTGAAAATGTATTGAATGAAATTGTGCTGATGGAATTTTGATGAAATAAATTCCTGTTCATTAATTTAAATAAGGAGAGTACCATCTTTTGAAAAAAAAAATTAAGGGGAATTGATTTCGGGGGGGGGGGGGGGGTGTCATTCGTTTTATTTTAAATCAGAAAAAAATATATTAATATAAGATATCGATAACTTAAAATAAAGGTCACCAGCAGCCCTTCTTTTTTTATATTTAAAAATTCTAATTAGTCATTGAATATCAAAGGGATATCTGTTTGACTTAATAAAGTTAAAAGTGAGTGAAATTTCAATAGATATTTACATTTTAACGATTAAAATTTTATGCAAAATCTGAATTATGATATTACCTTTTTTCTTCAACAGAGCCTCTTGAATGTATTTAATGCCAGTGGGAGAAAAATATTTTAAAGATTCTTTTTATTGCTAGTGAAGGTCAGGTTTTGGAAATATTCTAGTAAATGGATATTCTGAACATGAATAAAATGTTGTACACCAGGGCATTGCAAAGGAAATACAACCGAATTATGTTGATTCATATTACGCCTTTGGTATGTCATGTATCTCTTTTTTTCTAACATCTAACTCCGAAACGTCCATCAAAGAACAAGGCTTTCACTAAATCCCTATCATCTTTCAATTTGGATGTGTTAATAAATCACATTAAACTGTTCTTTCTCATTACAATATTAAACTTGAATATCAGTTAAAACCATAAAGCTAAACATTATTTTTTTTAAAATCAAAATCTTTTTAAAAGAATTCATTGTACAAACAAGACGAAATGCTTTAAAAAGTCCGGGTCCCCAATTACACTTCGCATTTCGGAATTCATTCATTGATTGCTATCTGGCATTTTCATCTCTGAAATGTCAGTCAGTAAATTTATCGCGTTTTTTCATCGTCTTCCAGGTGTTTGAAATGAAATCATCAAAACACATTTTGTAAATCCAGTTTTTGTTGGTGTTTAAATGACATTTCAATATACCTTGTATTCTATGCCTCCTTGGATGTAAACCAGTTTTAAGATTAAGAAATGTACCTTTTTTTTCCAGATACCAAATCATGCGTTCTTGTTGGCGCGAAGACCCAAACAGTAGACCAAGTTTTACCGAGCTCTGCAGAACGTTTGATTCAATGTTAGAAACAAGTTGTGGGGAACACTATATTAATTTTGAACTTGATGACAGCAAAATATACTATCAGGTTCATGATATCCTCAATAGTCAAAATACTACAACAGCGTCAATACCACCTGCTGAGTTAGACTGCTTTGATAAACTAGACAAAACAAATGAAACAGACATAAACACTGAAGATATTGTTAATTACAACGTCACAAGTCACGTGGAAGATGCCTGTTCTACAAAGGAACAGATTCCTCGAAACAAATGTTCTCTTAATGATGATGGAGAGGTCCATGTAGTAGAAGTCCTCGTGGAAACAAATAGTGTGGAGAGTACAAACGATTCTTGTCATCCAAATTCTAGAACTGTGACATTTTGCAGCTCTTTGAACACGCTTGCAGCTCGAAAAAGAGTACAAACAGGTTCACCTCACATTAATAAGAAATATTCTATATCATCAGTACCTAAATTTAATATTGTCAATCAGCTATATAGACACGATCCAGTTTCTCCGAAAGCCAGTAGTAGTCCGGATCTTGAAAGTTTACAAAGAAACAGCGCTATTGACTGCGATGCAGATGAAAGCAGCATCGGTAGTACTTGTTCGAAATGTTCAACGTCATCAAATGGCGATGACGACGTATTTTACCCAGAGAGTAACAGTGTTATTAAAAAAGAATCAAACACACTAAACAAATCTGCTGATAGACCAAGGCGTTACCGTAACGAAACCAGAAAAGGTGATCCTCACACGTTGGTTACGATGTTTTTATCTGACGACCCCCAAAACGATTCTGGAGTGTCGACTTCTAGTGCTAATGAATTGTCCGTACAGAGTGGCCAAGTTTTTATATTTCCTCCGGACAAAAATATTCCCCTAAAGGCTGAAGATGAAGACGATCACGTGACGAACTCAACGTCCAGCGACTGTGAGAATAAAAGTCTGTCACAGGAAATCGAAATGTCCACAGACACATGTGTTTGGGACAGCGACGAACAGACACTGGACACATATGTTTAGAGATTTCTTCAATTAATTTGTTTCTGAAAAATGGCATTTTATGATATTGAATGTTTTGAATAACTTGAAGTGTTATTCACATTTTAAAATGAATCATTTATAGGTATACTAAAGTCATGATCCTAACATCAGGTAAATTTGCGATGTTCAATTAATTCTGGATGTCTGTCTGTCTGGGTTTTTTTTTCGGTATACGTTGTAATCTAATATCTTGTCATGAAATATTGACAATTATAAGCATAATCACTTACTGTACAATTATAGCATTTGCCTAATAAGTTGAGGTAAAAATAAAATACCAGCGTGTTATTTGCTATAGATAACACTTTGGGGATGTTTAACGATTAACTGTTACACCCAGTGACAAAATACCAATCGGAATACGCGGATTAAGACAAGACTATGACGGCTATCATATTCGTGATGCATAGATGCAAAGTAGAAGTTAAACTGTTTGTTATCAATTGCTTGTCACAGATATTGATTTATCTTGATTTCCCCGATCCTGAAATGATAGACCGAAAGAAAACTGAAACATTTCACATCAGCTGATATAATTCTAGACCAATGGCTGAAAATATCTTTTTTTAAGAATAGAAGAAATTTCCTGCTATTAAAGTCATGATTTGTTTTTTGTAGATTGAGAAGCAGATAGCATTTGATTATTGTTCCCTCTTTTAAAAAAAAGCAAAATTGATACGAGCAACTTCAACAGATATGAATAGTTCATTTACGATTGAGTTGGTTCCTTTTTTACATGTCAGTTACCAATAAAACTACTATTTTTCTAACACTTGTTTGACAGTCATGTTTCAATTTCTCTTCCGCGACATTAATGAACGTCTTTTTAAAGTTGATATCCAGTGAGAGAAATAGTTAAAATGTTCTATTTGACTTTCAGATCCTTGCCTTGGCCCGTAAAAGGTTCGTTTTCAGAGGGTTTTTTTTATGTTTGTCTTCCATTGTTTCCAACTGATTTGAAGATGATTCAAAAGTTTCCTATATTCTGTTATAAAAGATATAATATGGGAAATTCATTAAAATTGACTTTTACTCAGAATATAGTATACATGCACATTGCAAATCCAAACCAATTAGGATGGTATTTTCCCCCAGCTTTAGTGCCATAGCTTAGTCCCGGACTTTTAAAACCTTTTTTTTTTCTTGTTTCCATCCCACTTCTTGTGGGTGATAATTGGCACTTAGTTATCCAAGAATTGAAAATTAGTATCCTGTTATTAAGCTATATTTAGAACAAATGTAAAAATAATGAAAACTATTTTTTCACAAAAATGACGTTCTTTTGAGAAATCCTTTGTTTCGCTCTCGTGATAAAAGTTTTACAATGCCATATGAACATGGCTAATAATTAAAGTCAATCCTTCACATAACGCATTTCGTGTCAAGTCTAATTTGATAGCTGCCAAAAGTAATTACTAATTGGGAAAGGATATATTTGCTAGAATCTAAGCGCTTGTAGTATAGTTTGTAGTACTTTATCGTGTATATATATTTGGTAAATCTAGTTGATAGCATTTTCAAAATAAAAAATGAAACCCATTTAAATTTTCGCAAAGTATTACGATCACAATTCAATGAGCATTACCGGATGAAAAAATTGACAATTTTATTTGAAGTGGGGGAATATTTTTTCATCAATATCATTGCAGGATTGGTCCTTCGAGGCCCCGTATTACGACAAAAGACCATGTGTTTCCTGAGTTCATCATAGTAGCTCTTTCATCATTTCAATCAACTCTGGAATGCATTCTTCTCCGTGTCTATGTTTGGATTTTTATTCCATTTGCACTTTTGTGATGCATTGATAATTAAAATAATTTTGGCTGATTTAACTAAACATTTCCTTTGATATCAATAATAAAAGTGATTGAATGTTCTTATCGATTTCCCTAGATAGGAACTGCCAAGGAAACTGTCGTTATGAGGGGGTGCAATTTGAGTGACAGAAAAGACATTCTATCATTCACCAAAAGGAAAATGTTAAACAAAATATTGAAATGTTGTATCACAAACTCCTAGAGATTAAGTTAATGAAAGCTACTGAAGCGCTTCCCTTGAAAGAAATAGAGATGAATAAACATTTTGGAACAATTTTTTTTTTATTATATGATTGAATAATTCCTAGTTCTCTGATTGGCTGACATCCAACATTGTAAAAATAAATTTAAAAAAATAAAAACGTTACGTTCACATGTACGTGACCTTCCAAGTGAACATATGGATTTAATTTTTCTACATTGGACATAAAATAGATTGAGAACCTCCATTTAAATTGATACAATTAATTCCGAAAAGTTATTTCACCTGCACCCTACCTCCATTCAGGGAAACAAAACAAAAACATTTAGGCACATAGAATGGGAGGGGGGTTCCCCACTTTTTCTGAACGTATATTAATTTAGTTTGAAAATTTTCATTGAATGTCTGATTGCATACCCCTCCTTCGACTTTTTAGAACAGTATCTTAGATTAATGGAGCCTAACCCCCACCACCCCACCCGCCCCAAAATAAGATTATGGAGTTTGCAGAATTTTCCTCTTTTGGGGGTTTGTTAGAGATTCATAAGATAAATTGACCTTTTATTTTTTGCCTTTTAATGCCCCCACCCCTACTTCAAAATAGATGCTACGTGCCTGACATTTATTTTTTTCTACATTGCACTAAAATAGATTAAGAAATTTCAAATTTATAGAACTGATTATGTTTATTTCAGTCCCTTTCTCTCACTGCGTTTGGCTAAGACCAGCAGATGTAAAGGTGGTAAGTTTGTATCATTCAATTCATTAAAATAAAACAATTATTGCTGTTTTTCAGCCAGTACAATGCTTTAGCCATCCTCGAAGTACAATATTCACTTGTATTTCATAACTGTATAATGTCTGAGTTTAAATAAAAATAAAATCATAAGATATGTAACATTTCACATGTAGAAAAAAGCTCTTATAGTGATATTAACACAAAATTAAAGCTTATTTGTCTATGTGTTCTTATGCAAGTGTATAAATTAATAATGAAAACCACAATCGTATATCTAATTATATAAGACAATTTTCATGGTCAATATTTTAATATCTCTTTGTAAATGTCAGACAATATTTTTTCCATAAAATACATTTGTTTTTTCATTATCAGATGAACTGTACTTCATGTATTCATACATGCCTATTTTTTGACAAGGGAATGGAAATTCCAGCTAGGGAATATATTTTGTTATGTCTATCACTTTGTTTACAAATTTAACCTTGCTCATAAAGAGTTATTTCATACTTTGTAGTCTGCTTATGACTAGAGATTGTGTGTCAGGACACGGAACCAAAGTGTTTCACAGGGTCAAGGTCATAGTGTATAAATTTTTGTCCAGTTTATGTCTTTATAATAAGAAACATTTGAAATGTATACTTGACACAAACAAAGGTCGTAATCACATGCAGGAAAAAGCCTTATAATGAAATTAACGCAGAAATGAAATTTCACGGTTAATGTGTTCTTTTTCTTAAGCAATAGTACAAAGTAACAATTAAAAAGACAATCATGTTCATCCAATATCTTTTTAAAAAGGATCATTTTCGAAGTCAATATTTTAATATCATTTTTTAAATGTCAAAAAATACATTTTGTTCATTATCAGAACTTCATGTATTTTGCACGTACATGCTTATTTTTCCCACCGAAATAGAAACTCCGGGGGGCAAATTGTTTTAGTCAGTCTGTCACTTTGTCTATGAATTTAACCTTGCTCATATTTCTTGAAGGAAATTAAATAATTTCTTTATAGTTTTCAGAAAGGTGCTTATAACCAGAGTGTGTGTCATGACCCTGAATCAATGTAACTTTGACGAGGTCAAGGTCACAGGGTTTGGAAATGTTAAATGTTTGTCCATTCCATGTCTTTAAAGTGGAGAACATGAGAAGTCCGTACTTGGCACAAATGTTCTTAAGGAAAAGGTAATAGACAAGGTCACGTCCCCAATACAACCTTAAGCACAGGGTATTTGAGATTAACAACACTTCTCGTTTAATTCTTTCAAAGTTTGAATTATATCCTGACAATAACTACAAAGTGTATATAAATGAAAACACACGCACACACACCCTCACACACGATTAACAGAATATCATTAAACCCAATACATATGTTCATAAATATTCTATTAAATTTACGTATATATATATATATTTTTTTTTATAAATGATGCACTGTCTAAAAAAGCTGAATTCTGCAGGTGCTCGCTTTCTGTGAACATTTTTTTTTTCAGGGGGAGTGTGGTCGAATCTCTGTGTGCCTCGGGGAGGTATTAGCCCCACCCCACTCCTTGTGATCTGTGTTTGTCTATTGTTTTGTGTTTAATCTATCTCTAGCTTAAGGTACACTTTGCTCTTTGATTTTTCTTTCTGTTTCACAGGTGTTCGCTGTTAATGTACATGGACCCATTAACCAAAAACGTCTTGACGAAAATGTACCAGTAACGGTGAAACAGAATCGCATAATTAAATGATAAACACGGACGAGTTAACAATCAATTTACTTTGCCAATTTGCCGCTACCCGAAAGGTCTATTGTTGTAATATTGTGAAGAATGGTTTTATGGGTGACATTTGCCTTGAACAGGTGCAAATATTTGTAGGAAAAAGTAGGTAATGGTATGTTAAATTCTGATTGTGATTTGTTTACTGTTGATGTTTATAGATTTCCCAGGTGTCCGTACGTTTTCTTATCCTCGTTTTTATACATATCTCACTCTCTAATACATGCCAGGATTATCTGAACGGTTGACTTTGTAAACCTGAATTAGATGCTTGGATAATAAGAGGAATGCAAATTAAGCTTCAAGTTTTAACAACCCAATTTCTTAATGCACAAAAACAACTCCATGAGAAAAACGAAAGACATTCTGCACCCAATCTGTAAAATTAGCCTTCTGTTATATTGCTTTGTCAAATGTAACATTAGAGTTTGCGAATTCTTATTATTTGTATATGAATTATAAACTACGAAGTAAAAACATTCTTCTTACAACCGCAGGTGCTACGAAACTTGGAAAACCGATAAAAAGCAAATAAAATTGTTCAAAAGCTGACACTAAAGGAAATATGCGAGGAGTTTACACAGCATAACAATCATTTGAGCATATTTACACTCGTCCGCAGCACGTTAAAGGAACACATTGGGTGATATGCCGAAATCGCTCCGATCCGTTGAAAGCCAAATCTTCAACTTCCGGTTTACCAAAGAGATCGTCTTGGCGTCTTCCAGAACTCCGATGCCGCTCTTTTTGACCACAACGTGACTAGCGCCTAATCATCTCCGTAACAGAGTATAAAAGGCTTAATTCTGTTGGTGGGAGTTTAGGTGTACGCTTTAATATGTACTTGTATTTAATCGAGCGAAATAAACCCATACACATAAGCCAAATCTGTAAGGGTTCCTTGTATGACGCCATTCAGACGTTAGTAAGTTTGGTCGTAATTGATCTTTTCAAATTATTGCTTAAATAGTAATGAAGTAAAAGAAGGGTCTTAATTTTACCCGCTTTTTGAATAAGGTCTATCCGCTTATCACCGTAAAATGACCAGGGCCCAACCAAATCAATGTGTTCAGAGTTTGTAACGTTTTAAAATGTGGTTTTTGTTAGTGTCTTGTCTTTTGTGGTAGAATTTTGAAGTAATTGAGGGCAAAGTTTCAAAGTTTTAGTATTTAAGATGCTCTCTTGTCCTCAGAGAAGATGACATCAATTTTGCCGTCTGGTATGGTATTAAC